GAGATATATACAAGAGTTGTTCCATTCTTGTACAGCCACTAGTACGCGTAGCGTTTCGGGCAGGTCCCTAGAATACGATCCCCGCCGCGAATAATCGTTTTTTCATCCAAGTACACATTTTACTGTTGCGTTAAACAGAGGCTACAGTTAAGGAATTGCGCCCAGTAAATCCTCCCCGACCAGGATACGAACCCATGACATAACGCTCGCGCAACGCCAGGCGAGTGTCTTACCACTACACCACGGAGACTGTAATTCTCTCCCTCCCTCACCAAAATTCCTCCTTCCTACGCACAACGCTAATTATAACCACAATCCTGGTCACTAATACTTGTAAATGAATAATTGACCACAAGTTTATTTTGAAAAGGAACCTAAAAAGTCGTTTGAAGATTCCTAGATGGACGAAATAATGCTGTGGTGCTGTGGCTAGTGCTGTGAACATCGTGAACTGCATTGAATCACTGATATTTGAACATTGTACCCAATCACTATCACACTCGGGCTCTTCTATAATACTATCATGGCTAAATAAAACAGATTATACATACATTTTGACAATATTAGGCGATGCTGTGGTCACACTCTGAACAGCAGTGCTGTGCGCTCATGCTGCGAGCGCCAGCCTTGGTTGCTCACTCACTACTGTCGCTCTGACACCCGGCAATGTGGACCATGATTTTTTTTAAAGATGGCGTCTGTTTACAAGAGCCCTGAGGAAGCTGATGTGAACCCCATGTAGCCCCGGGAATTTTGAATGGAACGTGAAAAATAAAAACATCCGGAGGCGCGTTGCGCACCCGAAGCCTGGGCCTGCAGGCGCGTTGCGCAGTTAAAGGGTTAATATGTTGCATAAGAAAGCAATCGTCAATTAATTCTAGAAAATCTTCTGCTTCATTATTCCCTGTTTTGTTCACCCAGTTTATTCCACTAAAATTAAAGTCACCCATGACATAAATACTGTTAGATCTAGATGCTCTAGATATTTCATCCCATAGATGCTTTGCTTCCATTGTCTAAATTTGGTGGCCTATATATAACTCCTATTATAATAATATTTGCTTTTTTGTTTAATTCTATCCAAATAGTTTGTGTGTGTGGCTCAGTTTTGATTCCCTCTTTGAGACTACATTTCAAATTGTCCCTAACATATATGGCTACTCCCCCTCCTCGTCTAATATATCTATCTGTGTGAAATAGTTTAAATCCATTTATTTGATATTCAGCTAATAGTTCTCTATTTTCTAGTGATTCATCTATGTTTCGGTAAGTGCAATAATATCTATTTCTTCTTTACAGATAAGAGCATTTATCTCATTTATTTTGTTTCTTAGACTTCTACTGTTAGTGTAATATACCCTAAGTGAATTGTTATTTTGAGGCCCTTTTTACCAATTTGTTTCTCCAACAAACACATATTTTTATTACCTCCTTCCTCCCTATCAATTCCCATACCACTATCTACTAACAGTTTAAACCCAAACAAATGCCTCTAACCACTGGTTCCAATGAGTTCGCAACAGCAACAACCCCAGCCCTCGATAGATGCACCGCATCACGAGCATACATTTCATTTCTTCCATAGAAGTGTTCCCAGTTGTCTATGAAAGATATTGCATTTGATTTGCAATATCTTTCCAGCCAGCAATTGACACCAAGTGCCCTCGACAACCATTCATTCCCAACGCTCTTTCTTGGAAGAATGCCACATATGATCGGGATTCCTCCCTTGCTCCTAACTAATTCTATGGCTTTGTTAAATTTCTTTATCAGTTCCTCACTCCTAACTTGTCCAACATCATTACCCCCTGCACTAATACAAATAATGGGTTTGTTCCCATTTCCCGTCATAATATCTTTTATGTTGTCAACAATATCTCCAATTCCAGCTCCCGGATAGCAGACCCTTAACCTGTTCCCTCTATCTCTGGCACAAAACGTCCTGTCAAAATACCTCACTTGGGAATCTCCCACAAGCAAAATTCGCACAACCAAAATCTCCCACAACCAAAATAGCAGCTGCCTCGTATGGGCAAATAGCAGCTGCCTCGTATGGGCAAATAGCAGCTGCCTCGTATGGGCAAATAGCAGCTGCCTCGTATGGGCAAATAGCAGCTGCCTCGTATGGGCAAATAGCAGCTGCCTCGTAAGGACCAATAGGTGCTGCCTCGTATGGCCCAATAGCAGCTGCCCCGTATGGGCCAATAGCAGCTACCTCACCTGGTAGCTGCGAATTGAGGTAGCCTCACACAGTGAGGCTACCTCAATTCTCTCATTCTCTCCCTTCCTCCCTCCCTCACCAAAATTCCTCCTTCCACAATACTACGCACAACGCTAATTATAACCACAATCCTGGTCACTAATTTCTGTAAATGAATAATTGACCACAAGTTTATTTTGAAAAGGAACTTAAGAAGTCATTTGAAGATTCCTAGATGGACGAAATAATGCTGTGGTGCTGTGGCTAGCGCTGTGAACATCGTGAACAGCATTTAATCACTGATATTTGAACATTGTACCCAGTCATTATCCCACTCAGGCTCTTCTATAATACTCTCATTTCTAAATAATACAGGTTATATATATATTTTGACATTATTGGGCGATGCTGTGTGCTCATGCTGCGAGTGCCAGCCTTGGTTGCTCACTCACTACTGAGGCTCTGACACCAGGCAATGTGGACCATGATTTTTTTTAAAGATGGCGTCTGATTACAAGAGCCCTGAGTCATAGCAGAAAACACCACCAGCGACTACGAGATCCACGAACCACCACACAGAACCAGAAGAATCACTCTCCAACAAAAAGTGATCAGACATATCCATGATGAGGCCTTCCCAAGCCCTCAGATACTAAGCGGTCTGCCAGACGATCCAGATGAGTGGCCCATCCCGGACCCAATCTACACCAAATGAAGAATAAAGAAAGAAAAAAAAAAAAAAATAAATAAATAAATAAATAAATAAATAAATAAATAAATAAAAAAAAAAATAATAAAAAAAAAAAAAAAATAAAAAAATAAATAAATAAATAAATAAAACACCTACAAAAAAATATAAAACCAAAAAACCATTTGTCGTGGCGTCAGAAGTGTAACTACCCTGATGTTTCTAAGATTAGCCTCCTTCAGCCAACTCCATCGGCTCTAGTGCTTTAGGACACCAACAAGGTCACAAACACTAGCTCCCCCAGCCAATGTACTGACAACCCAACATAACACATACGCAAACAAACAACACATACAAAAATGTCAACCCATGGTGGACAGGCCACCGAACTTTCAAACCTCCTCTCTCTCTACACCCGCATCCTCTTCCTGAATTTCATCTCCCCATCCCTCTACCTCCCCCATCCTTTCCATTCCCTATGGACATCAATCCGAATCCTGAGGAAGCTGATGTGAACCCCATGTAGCCGCGAGAGTTTTGAATGGAACGTGAAAAATAAAAACACCTGGAGGCGCGTTGCGCACCCGAAGCCGGGGCCTGCAGGCGCGTTGCGCAGTTAAAGGGTTAAGCATTACCCTATTAATTTTCCCTGGAATACAACATGGCAATACATTTACAACTATGTCCCCAATTACCGCTAGATGTACAAGGGGTGAACAGTTAACACTTTCGCGCTCTCGGCGCTCAAAAAAAAAACAATACCCCAGATGCTTTCGGCACTTCGCGCGCCTACGCGGTAAGACCGAAAAAGTGTACACTCTTTTGACTGTCCTGACAATAATTGAAGGCGCACGTATTTAAATTTGGTATCACTGTGTTCGCAATGAAATTGTCTATAAGAGCATACCTATAAAATGCTGCCCAAGCATAAGGAGTATCAACACCAAATAAAAAACTATGCAGATCACTCGATGAGAGCGCCAAACAGCAACAAAATGTTTCCACTCTCTTAATGGTTGCGAAGCCTACAGTTGTCCTACATCGCTAATTTTGGTATCATTGGAATCGCAATAAAATTCTCTACACGGACATATGCATATGAATGTTTAATATAGGTAATTGCCCACCCGCAAGAGTGTGTGAAGCGGAGAGTAGTTAGCCGCGAGCGCACTGGCGAAAACACAGGGGGGAAATCATGCTTGGAAAGTTTATACGTTTCCTGACCCTACTTTTCTATGTACGTATTTCTTTTTTATACCAATGTGTTCGCAATAAAATTTTCTATAAGATGAACTGTATAACATTTGTACAAAGCATGTGTAAGAGAAGCGCCAAATATAGAACCACGTCGCTCAGTATGCGTTCGTGGCAGAAACGAACGCATTGTTTTCGTTCGTTTGATGTTTGTCATGTTTATACTTGTTGAAACATTTTATAATTTGTATGACAGTGATCGCAGTAAAATTCCCTACACAGACATATACATAACACATACAAATATTTCCCACGTGTTGGATATATCAACGGCTAAAGGGAACCCACTGCCACACGCTCGCCACACCCCCAAATATACTTTGTGTATTTTTTTTTTTACTCATAGAAGTTTATGTGATATAATATTCATTCTGGTACCAAAAAATTCGCAAATAAATTCTCTACAAAACAAAAGTATCCCCATCCATTTCGGTTAAAAAATGGAATTTATAGAAATATTTTTTCGATAGACGAGAAAAGTAGGCTGTTATGCGGAATCGTAAGAAAAAACAGCGACGAGTTATCTCTAATCTAAAGCGCAAAAGTGTTAAGGATTTGAGGTCAAGTCGACCTTCTCCTCTCAGGGCTCAAACCCAGCCAAAATCCCATGAAAGTGAGTGGGCCGAGCATGCTACTACTATAACACAGGTACTAGTGATGATGTGATGTATGGAGGTACAGTACTAAGTGAGGGGCAGTAGTAGAATATATTAAAAGACTTTTCATGATCATGGCATTTTAAGATGTACCCCAATTTTGCTAATTTTATATTTTTTTTGCAAAACTCTGAAAACATAGTAAATAGTACAGTAAAGTGAACTCAAGTCAAACAAATTTCATTAACAACTACAGTAATACCTGGCTATGTCGAGTAGGTTTTGTGCGAGCATGCAGGGTGAGGTAATCAATGTCCCATCCCCATACATACGCACCAAAGTGAGCAGCCGACACCAATATTGAGCCTGATGAAGTAGAATGAAAATAAATTAAGAGAGAATAAGTGGATTAATTTCATTAACAGATGTATGCTAAGCAAAACACCAGCGTTGAATGTAGTGAAACGCCATTTTCTTAAAGAGCCCCGGAGGCTCCCTAAAGATATCAAACTGACATGTGCCTTATTAGTTTGGTGCCATCAATTCTTGGAGTTCTAGTGCCTACTGGGGGCCACGAGCCAGAACTTGGCCCCTTCAAAGAAGCACAGAAAACAATGGCCATATGAGCACTCTTCATATTTATAGTGTGTCATGTCTGCCATCGACCGGAAAAGGCACCCAGAAATGTAGGCAAACCAATACAAACCCCTACCTGATAAAAATTGCAACCTATGTTTGAACAGAGCCAAAGAACTTCCCCTGAAAGAAAACAATGAAAGACGCAAATTGTCATCCAACTAGTTCACCCACTCATTAGTTCCCCCCACCTCCACCCCCCAAACAGGGGGAGCGGGAGCCCTCTAAGGCAAGCTGGCCGCTCCACCTTCTTTTCGTGGAATGATTAAAACCCCCCCGACCGGAGGGGGGGGGGGAGGGTGTCAGGGAGCCTCTGGGGCTCACCTAGAAAATGGCGTTTCATGACATTCAATGCTTCATAACATTCTGTGGTTTTCTTTCCAAAACCCCCGTGTCCAAATGTCGACCCAAGACATATTACTAAAGACAGCAGCAAGAGCAGAATACTTCCACACATCATGGGCACGAGGGTAGACCACAGGCTGGCTAGACTTAATAACCCTGCAAACAACCTGAGAGACACACGCCCTGGAATAAGGAACCAGGGAAATCAGGTCCACCAAGTGTGTCCACCGTCACTGAACCAGTAACGCGCAGGTAGCGATGTAAAATTGCAACCGGACACAAAACATGAAGCAACCCCAGCCTAACCTACAAATGTAATGAAACGCCATTTTCTGTGTGAGTCCCGGAGGCTCCCCGGAGCTATCCATGGCTGATATGGATACCCTAACTATTTTGCATCAGTCGATGTGGGTGGAGTTCTAGGCCTACCGGGGACCACGAGCCAGAACCTGGCCCCCTCAGAGAGGCACGGGGAGCAATGGCCAATAGAATTGCACATGTGATTTGGAGCATTCTATATCTGCCATCGACCGGAACAGGCACCCAGAAAGGTAAGCACCACAAAACAAACCCCTATTCTGGTTAACAACAAAAATCGACAAACGAGTGGACAGAACTTCCCCAGAAAAACGAACTAACAAGCATGACGTCACACGAGCCGCGCCGCATGTCTGCGCAGCTCCCCCCTCCCCGGGAGGGGGAAGGGGGAGCCCCAGACCCCTGCGCCGGCGATCCCCGCCCCAGTTCTGAGGCTGGATATCAAAACCGCGAAAAAAACGCCGACCGGAGGGCGGGAGGGTGCCGGGAGCCTCCAGGACTCACCCAGAAAATGGCGTTTCATTACATTCAACGCTGGTTTTCTGGGGGGAGCCCCTACGGCTCCCCGGAGCTACTTCACCAAAGACTACCTAAGAAAACAAGGGGACATACCCGGGAGGCGGTCGGTGCACCACTCCTCAACACGAAGTCGAGACAACAACCCAAGGACCCCTCCGGAAGCAGCAGGCACATCATACGCCAGAAAAAGGGAGAACGGCTGCAGACGAAGAAACCTATGACCACGACCATAGGAGCCAAAAACCACTGCGCCTGAGAAGAGCATGAAGCTCTGCCACACGACCCCCAGAGGCCAATGCCAACATAAAAAGAGCCGAAGCAAAGCAAACCTGAACCGAAGGAGCCACAACAACCAAGGAGAAGAAAAACAGGAGAGCACCCTGTCCAAAGACCAGGACGGCACAGGCAGTGCATGAGCAGGCCGGAGGTGAAACAACACACGAGACAGCCTGCGAAACGGCGCAGAAGGAACATCGATACCGAAAGCTAGCAGCAGAAACCAAGGTGCCAGACCCAGGAACGGCCCCAAGCGCCTCTACATCCTCCGCAAGCCAATCCTATGACAGCCCCAGGAGGGAAAAGAAACGCAGGACCAAAACCAAAATGCCACAAGCGTGCAAGTCCACCACCACAAGTGCAGCCGACAGGGAAGGAACCCGCATAAGGAGCCGCCCCGCACCAACATCCCGCAGAAGGGCAGGAGCGAAAAGACACTCATGAAGAGGAGCAAAATCGCCCCCAGGAAAACGAGCAGCGCCGAGACAGCGCTAAGAGAAGAGATATGAACAAAAGAACAAGAAGGCCAAACACCCAGAAGCTGCCTGGAATAGGACCCACAAGCCCTAGAAAGGACCGGAGGGAAGCTCAACCGAACGACGACAGACGTACCAGAAAACGGGAAGGAGCAAAACCGTCCCGAACCTTCGAGAACAAAAAGAAGCAAACACAAAGGACGAAGGCACAAAAACCCGTCGCACCCGAGACCAAAAGTCATGCAGAACCCCCAAGAAGAGGGGGACATGACGGAGAAGGGCCGTCCCGGAAAAAAGGGGTGAAGACCGTAGAAACGCACCCACTGACAGGACGGAAGCAACGGGCATAATGGACAAGGAAACCGAGCCCAGGGAGGGGCCGACACCCAAAAACCACGTGTCGAGAGGGGGAACAGAAAAACCCCACTCCCCAAAACTGCAAGCCCCGCCCAGAGGGGTAGAAAAACCCCAGCGGGAACTAACGGGGCCTCAGGCCCCTCACGTTAGCCCCACTTCCCAGCCCCGGGAACCTACCCTGCAGGCCCCGGGGCCGAGCTGTCCCCCCAAAGCCCCAGCGTCAAGAAAAACCCCAGGGCAGCCGTGAAAAACACTAAGGAAGGGAGCCCACTGGGCTCTGGAACTTGAACCGAAACCGGAGGATAGGCGAGGGGCGAGACGAAGACCCCAAGCTCATCCCCAGCCAGCACAACGAGGCGAGGACAACGAGGACAGGACAGAGAATCCAAGGAACATGGAAAAACCAGACCCGGCACAGCAAGACCGGCAAGGAAGGAGGGCCCCAGAGGGAGCACAGAAGGGCCGAACAAAATGCCACAACCAACCCCTACACGCAGCCGCAGTACCAAAACCGCAGCAAAACGTCACCACACTCCCCGAGGAAGCGACAGGGAAGATAAAGATAAATCGTAACACGAGTGGCACACAAGGGGACACAGGCGGAAACCGAGTACCCAACCGAGCCACAGGGACGGTAGAAGAAACGTGTGCAGTGTAACAGGCAATCGAAGGAACACATTAGGCAGCCCAACTTGGGCTGACCCCATACACAGCCCCAAGAGCAGAGACGAGAGCGCCCATGAAGCACAGAATCCGCTCGTCAGGCGAACGACAGGGGAGAGGCGGAACCAAAGAGCCAGAACCCAATCCTGCAAGCACAAGGAGGCGAGCACAAAACACCCTCGACACAGGAAAACGTACCACCGAACAGGCACCCCCACCGTTGCACCGTGGAACAAGGTGGAGGCGGGGCCCCGAACTCAAGCAAGGTTAGACAAGCATAGGAGAGGGGCAGGATGAGTACAGGCAGGAGCCGCCTCGGAAGGGCCAAGAGGCCACCCGCAGTCACCCGTGAACCGAGGAAGGAATCAGGTGGTGAGAACAAGAGCTGCCCTGTATGGGCCAATAGCCCTGCAGTAGGCACCTCGGTTGGTACGGTCCACGTTCTCAAGTACGTATGTACACCCATTCCTACTTCCAAAAACAACAACAGCGTCAGGACGAAGGAGACGCCAGACCGCACCAACTCACCTGCAGAACATAGGCGCTGAAGGGCCATGACGCAAGCCTATGAGAACGTAGCCGCCGGAGGCGGCCAGGGCGCCCATGCTGGAGAGGAGGAGGGGAGCGGCGAAGGAGGCTCCCCACCCTAAAATGCAGGGAAAAACCTTGTGACTTCCCCACAGCGGCACTCCAGAACACCCCCAAAGCAACGGGGCACGGATTGGAGAAAGAAAAGAGCGAGAGGCGAAGCCCCCCCGAGAGAAAATGGATGCAGAACACCAACACGTGTGCACACCGCCCGGAACCAAAACAAACTCCCACGGCGCATGCGCAGGACACGAAAGAAAAGTAGCCCAACAAGGCGAGAAGTAGGACCAACAGGGCCCAAAGAAAAGTAGCCCAACAAGGCGACAAGTAGCCCAACCGGCGACAAGTAGCCCAACAAGGCACAAGTAGCCCAAACCGGCTACAAGGAGCCCAAACGGCTACAAGGAGCCCAACCGGCTACAAGGAGCCCAAACGGCGACAAGGAGCCCCAAACGGCGACAAGGAGCCCCAAACGGCGACAAGGACGGCTACAAGGAGCCCAAACGGCTACAAGGAGCCCAAACGGCTACAAGGAGCCCAACCTGACCAGAACACCGCAGGCAAAGAGATGCAGGGGTAAGCCGCAAAAACGCTCGCAGGCGAGAGATGCGGGTAGGAAAACCGAAGACGGAAACCACAGGGACACGGAACCGAACCCGGGGAGGAGCAGAACCCAAGCCCAAATTGTACGCAGAGGGGGGAAAAGAAAACCCCACTCCTTGCAACAGTAAGCCCCGCTCAGAAGGACGGAAATCCAGGCGGGGCGCAATGGAGCCCAAGGCCCCCAAGGCCGCTCCTCCCCAACCCCAGGAGCCTCTACACCAGGCCCCGGGGCCGAGTCGACCTCCAAAGCCCCGGCCCCATAAGAAAAAGCCGGGGCAGCCGAGAGAGCTGGAAGAGAAGGGGCCCACTGGTCAGACCCCGGAGCATCGGCCGGAGGAACAGACTCGAATGCCTCCGCAGCTACCCCGGACGGGGCAACCCCCGAAACTGCCCAAGTCTCAGAACCTCTAACCCCGCCCCGACCCCGAAGCCTGCAGATGCGTAGGGGCCGGAAGCAGGAGGAGGGGGAAAAAACAAGGGCGTGGAAGGAACCAAGGCCAAAGTGACCAAAACCCCCAAGTCCGGGTCTGCCTACACAAAGCAGGGCAGCATCGGGGCGTCCGGAAGTGACAAACCTGAGCGTGT